TCATACACAACATGTCCGGCATGTATAAAGGAAGAAAGAAGCAATTTGGCATATCTGGAGCAGAGAGAACGATGGTCTCATTACGATGAGCACCACAAATTGGCAAGACATGGCCTGTGGTGAGAAAAGTACACCAATCAGAACCAGTAAGCTTTTCACTTCGGAAATTATTCCTTGAAAACTTTTTCAGTTTTGGATTTGTTTTCGTTTGCATTTTAATTTCTGTGTTTTGGTGTTGGTAGTTTGTTGTCTTTTTTGTTCACACTGTAAAGGGAACTAAGCAGTTTTCTCCACCTGTAGATGCATTTCTGGTCGAAGGGGCACAAGCTGTGAATAAAGTTACAAGCGAAACGTTAACAGTAACTCGCGTTTTTATATATGCAAGTATTTATAATAATGTATAACAATCGTAACACAAACTTGCGCCAGTGTCAATATTGCACTATTACAAAATCATCGTTTTCCCCCAACATCTAATTAACTAAAAAGCCTGTTTAATAAATATTTCTTACCTCCACGCCAGCAACTGCTAACAGCCACCTAATGGATTCCATTTTCCCTCTTCCATCGAAATAATACAGCTTTACTTTCCCTGTCATACTGCGGCTGTGCGTGGTTTCCCCTGAAATTAGACAGCAAAACACCTCACATTTTAGAGAACAATTTACAGTTAACAGTTAACAGCAAGGGGGGACGCACGCACTTTAATTACAGGTAACGTTATCGGAAAATAAATGAAATAACTTTATCTTTCGAAGGGATTGAATTCCTTCTAAATAAACCAGACTTACCGGACTTCACGACGCAAAAACAAAGTGCGCTTTTTACAGATTCAACTCCGCTCGTGCCCCGCGCCGGCGTTATGCAAGCGCGAGCCGCACAGCCCCGAGGACACTACCCAATAAGCGCTCTCGACATTTGCATAGAGCCGCGCGGGCTGCTGGGTTCCTGGAACAGCCCGTTAAAAAAAAAAAAATGAAGAAAAATCAGGCATACCCGGGCAATTTGGGAAACAGAAATGATTGTGTCACCGAGAGACCGTGTAGACAAAAATAAGGAAAATCATTTTTAAAAGAAAGAGACACACAGGCCTCGCTTTAATCACCCTAGGCCGGTTGCAATAGCAAAGCCCGGTGTTTATATACCGAAGAGACAGGCATCCCTTCTCGGATGTGAGGGCGATCTGGCTGCGACATCTGTCACCCCATTGATCGCTAGGGTCGATTCGGCTGATCTGGCTGGCTAGGCGGGTGTCCCCTCCCTCCCTCACCGCTCCATGTGCGTCCCTCCCGAAGCTCTGCGCTCGGTGGAAGAGGACCGGCGTTCCCGGTGGAAGAGAATCGTGCCGCGGTTCAAGGGTTTACGAGTAGCTGCGCTCCCCTGCTAGCACCTCCAAACAAGCTCAAGGCCCATTTGTAGGAGAGACGTAGGGAAGTCGAGCTGCGAGACTTCACGACACATCCCAGTGAGGCACTGCACGTGGCAGTCTGCCTTCGTTTTCACTGTGGGAAGAATCAGTGCAACCAGTAAAGTTGAAAAAACTTTTACTGAAAACTACGTTTTCTGCGTAGTAAGAGGTTTATTCCACGCTGGAGAGAAGAGAAAAAGCACGTTTCGGCTGTAATAAAACTTGTAACGACACCTGAAG